GTCCTAATGACACTGAGCTTCAGTGGAATAGGATCTCGGCCGCCATGCACGACGCAGGAGCATCTGCTTGTGGCACTATCCATCGTCACCGTACCAGTCACTGGATATCCGAGAGGCCGGTGGACCTGTTGGAATCTAGAAGACACCTTCCCGGCTGGCTCTGAACACAATGTGACCAGACGGGCTATTAGGCGTGAACTAAAGCGAAGCCTACGTAATGACAAGGAAGCTTGGTGGACCAGTAGGGCTCAAGAAATGGAGGAGGCAGGAGCAGTAGGCAATTACCGCAAGCTCTTCCAGCTAATCCGCACCACTGGTCCCAGAAACCAGGCGTCAGTGAGACAATCAGAGACAGCGCGGGTGCGCTGATACACAATAAGGAGCGCCGTATGGCTCGTTGGGCGGAACACTTTCAAGATCAGTTCAGCTGGCCCCCTGCTCCCGGACCTCTTCCTACTCAGGTGATGCAGACGAGCCATGGACGGTTAGTTTAGAGCCTCCGTCGGAGGCCGAGGTCCGAAACGCGATCACAGCCCTTAATCGTTTTCGTGCTGCTGGCCCGGATTCCCTCCCACCTGCACTATTTAAGGATGGAGGTGAGATTCTCTGCAAAGTACTGACCTCCTTATTCGAATGTATCTGGAAGGAAGTGTCCCGGCTAATTGGAGCGAATCGATTATAGTGGCAATATACAAGAAGGGCAGTCGCACAGACTGTTCTAACCACAGGGGTATTAGCCTAACGCCAGTTGTGACAAAATTATTGCCCTCGATTCTCGTTCGTCGCCGCATTGTGGAACGGGAATCTAGGATTAGGGAAGAGCAGGCCGGTTTCCGCCCAGGACGTGGCTGTATAGACCATATATTCACTTTGCGGCAGATGCTAGAGCAGCGCCACGCATACCGCAGACCGACAATAGCTGTGTTCCTCGATTTCAAGAGTGCGTTCGATTCAGTCGATCAATGCATTCTGTTCGAAATACTTGCGCGAAAAGGTGTTCCCACGAAATATGTGAACATCCTTCGTGCTCTATACTCGAACACTACAGGCCGCGTTAGAGTTTATGGTGTCCTATCGGATAGCTTTCCGACCACAAGTGACGTCCGTCAGGGTTGCCCGATTTCCCCATTTTTGTTCAAGTTAGTCATGGATTCTATCATGGAGTGTTCCCTTGCGGAATCTCACGATGTAGGCGTTGAAGTGCTGCCTGGTGAAAGGTTAGTTGATCTAGATTATGCGGACGATATCGTCTTGCTTTTCGACGATGTTGGGGCGGCCCAATCAATGCTGAATAGCCTGTCCAGAGTGGTCCCATTATTTGGAATGCACTTCGCACCTTCAAAGTGCAAAGTGTTTCTGCAGGACCACCAGCCACTTAATGACCCCTTGACCCCTGCTAACGAAGAACTCGAGGTGGTTGATCAATTCACTTATCTTGGCAGCTGCATCAGCAACGATGGGCGCATAGAAACTGACGTCAGCTCACGCATTGCAAAAGCCAGAGCTACCTTCTTGAATCTGCGGCATCTTTGGCGACAGAAGGGAGTTTCCCTCCGTCTGAAAGGCGGTATATACAAGGCCACAGTGAGGGCCGTTCTGCTCTATGATAGTGAGACTTGGCCCCTTCCGTCTGAAGACCTGAGACGCCTTCAAGTCTTTGATCATCATTGTCTGCGAACCATTGCTGGTGTCGGATGGCACCAGCGTGTCCGCAACGATGATGTGCGTAGGCGAGTACTAGGTGGTGATAATCATGCTAGCTCCCTAGAACAACAGATAGCACTGAATAAGTTGCGTTGACTTGGGCACGTGCTACGTATGCCTGGTCACCGCTTACCTAGGAGGGCCTTGTTTAGTCTGCAGGTGTAGGGTGGCGCAAGGCTCGAGGTGGACAGAAGTTGACTTGGCAGCGGGAAATGAAGTCACTGACGACCAAACTGGGTGCCGTTGGTCCGTCTCGCCTTCCGGGCTGGAGTCCACGTGACTCGCCTTGTGCTTGGCTCGAGACTTTACAGGACATGGCTCGCAGTAGATACCAGTGGCGCGTCTGCTGCCGTCTCCTAATCGGATTGCTTGTTTAAAGTGTGTTTGGTGCTGAGTTATCTGCGGGGTAATGGCTGATTATGACGCGTGGCAGTGAAAGCCGCAAGGAAGCTGTCTCGCTGATGCCGCCTTATCTTTGCAAGTAGCCAGCTGTTTGTGATGGTATGTTGTCTACACAAGGTGTAGGCGCCTTGACCCTGAATGTTTGCTTAGGGCACTAAGGTTTTCAGGTAAGTCCCCCTTCTCTCTCTCTTCTTATTCTTTATTTCATAGGTCCTCATGGTTGTATGGCAGCGAAGCATCAGTTCAAATGACTGATGTACTGCTGTTGATGATGATGATGATGAGGTAGTCGGTCAGTAGATATAACACACTTTCCTTCAAACGAGATGAATGACTAAAAATGCGACGGTTGATCGCACGTCGGTTTGGACTACGTTTAATGCGACTGCTTGAACATAAACTAGCAAGAGAACGAGAAATGAAGTCGATGGCACCGCAGTCAACAAATGCAGATCCGTGTATACTTAATCCGCTCTCCATAAGATGCATAAAAATGCGAAGTAAACAGGCAATGCCAGCTCCAATGCTTCTGTCATCGCTACGTGGAGTCGTCTGGATTAGCGCGTGACTATTCATACTGAGTATGGTGACTGCGATGGTAGGTGACAGGTCATAGAAAATAAATGTTGGAAGCGGAACATCCAGGAGAAATCGATTGCATTTGAGACGAGACCGGACACAGCAATGCGGATTAGAAACGGAGCGATCTACGGCGTGGGGCATGGAGAACACGGCCGCAGATACAGCGAAGACGATGCGAGATGGCAAGGTGTACGGGTGTATAGCAATTTGGAGGCGCAACGACACGAAAAAGCACAAGATAGGACGGCAGTGTTATATAAGAGTGAACGGATGGACCAACCGAACTAGCCAGATAACCAATGGGACGCGGGCGCAACGAATTCGATTACGGGACACGGAGTGGTCGGCATTCGTCAAAGGGGGAACTTGATCGACTCAGAAAGGTCGTCAGTTTTGGTGGTGAACGTGCAACATCTATTGAGTAGGTGAGTTGGCCAAACATACTGTAGTCTTCGCCCCCTGTTGCAGAACTAAGTCCATCAGGGACAAGCGTATTTTGGTAAAGTCAACTCGTGTTCACAACGTTTATGTCCATGAATTGCGTTCCAAAGGAGTGCGGCGCCGCACCACATACACATGATATCTCGGCCCATTCCACCCGAAGTGTACTATGCACGGGTGTACTACAGCTGTTGGCGCAATACATGCAAGGAAGTACGCTGCTGATTGTGAGTGATAATGTTGAATTTGATGGGGTGTAGAAAGTAGCGCTGTGTCCCTCTGACCATCTAATAGGCAGAAAAGAAGCGTCTCAGCAGAAGAAACAAGTGGGAGTTAAGGGCACCATGGCTGATCTCGTCGAAGTTGCGTGGTAATATCCATGATGGTGTAATCGAGATGGTAAACTCGGCCAGTGGCCGAGTGGTCTGCACGTCTGGGTTGGAACTATAAGGTCGCCGATTTGAGTCCGCGTAGCGGCGGAGGTCCTCGCGGTATACTCAACACACGCGCGACTGATGGCGGTCGCGCGGCAGAGAAGGGCCGTTATAATGTACAGCGTGGCGGAGCTGTAAGTTTTCGGCCGTGTCTCCACGTTGCGGATTAGGGAATGCCTTACTTGCGCTGGTAACAGCGAATAAGTATTGTTTGCTGTGCAGGCGAGGTGAGCAAGCATTCGCGGGCAACCAGTGGCAGCATCTCAGAGCGTCGCGGTTCTGGGCTGGTCAACTGGTTCCCCATTAAATACCACAGCAGCTCGTACTGGGCTGTGTCAAAGCCAATGTGACCGGCTATTAGGTCATTGACCACTCACTTCTGCAACCAGAGGTGAGTACCTAACGGAGAGCGGATGAACAACTTTGGTGGTCACCGGCTTCTTGGTAGATTGCTACCAAACACGAAGAAGGCGAATGAACCACTCGGATGTCAACGGTCTTCGTGAATCACACCGCTGCCTTGCGGATCATGTCTAAAGGACCAAAAATCGGGGTGCAGTCCGTTAAGTCAACGCCCTCCCTGGGCTTGAGCAATCGAGATGTATGCCCACACAACACATGAAGCTTTTAGACCTGAATCATTCCAATGAGCATCCGGTTTTCCCTTGTTGTTAACCACTTGTTGTGGCACTGCCAATCGTACATTGGGCAAGTGTATAATAGTAATAATAATAAACAATAGTTCCATTCCCACTGTTGAAATAAGGTTGGAACCGACTGGAAGATCAAGATTTCAAAAAGTTTTGGTGTAGAAATCGGTTTTGCATAAGGTTGGATTGCAGTAATATTTTCGCACATCAAACAAGAGCTACTTTAAGCTAGGTGAACCAACCCATAATTAGTTTGACTTTTTGAATAACGAATTGGGATGATGATCGCGTGAGATAATTCGGGTCAGTGGATAAATGTGGTTACAGTCCCAAAGGGTCAATCTGTTGTTACCATGAGCGTGGAACAAACGCAATTGATCCGTGCAACGGGTTATTCACATGTGAGGCACTATCGTTATTGGCTCCAATGATGATAAGTAGACATTTTCGCTCTAACCTGAGTACGTCCGCCGAAGCTGCTCAGACTGGCCGGGTTAAGACAGTCACACAGGCGTTAAATAGCTTTATTTGTCTTTTCTGTTTATTGAGTTAGCGGTGTCGGTGAGTTCTAACACCACAGCAATTAGTCTTCCACTTATTGTGCTTACTCCTCTCCTATCGATATCCACACTGTCCCAGTCGATTTCGCGTCAAGAGTCTAGCGCGTGCAACGCCGCCGTGGAATCTGTTATTAGGGTTTTGCATTTCAGCTCGCTTTTTGATGGACGCAAAACGTGACATAATACAAGTCTGTATAAAACCGATCAGTAATCAGATATACACTCACCCCAGTCAGCAGATCTGATACCCATTTGCGGACTGTCACTTCGAGCAAACGATGCATCACAGAGTTCATTTTTGAGGGGTTGTCGTTCTGGATTGGAAAGAAAGAAACGAATAACTGCAGATGAAGCACACTTAGAAAATAAATCTGAAAAACAGGATCTGTCAGATTATGAGTATGCATCTGATACCTTATGAAGGTCCCCATAACGACCATTGAAAATGGGGATTCGAAAGCTGAAATAGTGGCCACTTCGGTAACACAAGCGAGATAGCTGAGGGCTATATTGCGTGGAGTTTGTTGCTTAAAAACGGCCTTGTTACTCAAAGAACATGATGTGCAAAGCGAACTGAGTGAAGACATATCGGTAGCCAGCAGCAGATGTAGCCAGTGTCATCACGCAGAGGGACAATGAGAAGCAAAACCAATGGATGTGCACATAACATCGAACAGCGGCTTATCTTAAGAAGCCTATGAAATCAGGATTGCGTTACAAGCGAGAGGAGAGTAAGGCAAGGTGAACAGATACGGGAACCAAATGGTAGTGACCCCATTGAGATGTATGAAGAAAGGGTAAATGCATATTGGGGAGCAAAACAGCTCCATACGATAGGGACTGTTGACGTAAGCGTCATGCACAAATTGCACTATGAACAACATTATTCGCTGGGAATGGGTAGCCGCAGAATATCATCTGTGCGTACAACACCGTAACCAATGGTCTTTTCCCTTCCTTTGATGAATTCCCATTCCACATTTGCCGGTAAACATATGTTTATAAAGTCACAATCTTGTGTGACTTGTCAAGCAAATTTTCTCAATGTGATAACAGCCATTGAGTTTAGAAAATAAGTCATCTTGATTTATCCAGGATTGATTTAGGACTTTGATCGGATGCTACGCACAAAATTATCTCATAAATTTTGGTTTGTAGGCGTTTGAAATCACGTGTTAGCATGGCTACAGTCTTACGTATGTGATCAGAACGAATTGGAAAAAGACGATATCAACATTATTGTAACTGACGGGAGTCACCAGTGGGGGAATCCAAAGTAGCTGCCTGGGTCCCGTTCTTTATCTCACCTACAGTAATGACAAATGAAAAAAATCAAACATTGAACTGCAGTTATATACGGGACTGACATAAAATCGTTTAATGGTTCAAGGAGAACGATTTATGCGAGGCACTACAACGTATTCAGAGTGATCTTCCACCCCCAAAATCCTAATGTCGAGTGTGAGGAATAGCGCTGACTTCAGATAAATAAAAATCCGTTCCCATGGATGTCACATGCCAGCTGAATAACACGAAATTCATATTGTAAAGCTCACACAATGCTTTTCCATCCGGGACTAAAGGGTGCGGCACTGGGTAGTGTCTGAAAAATGCAACGGTTAGATATAAAGGTTAAATAAAGGCTAAAGCTAGACATTAACTATATACGGCATGTTAAAAGGCCCGCTGGCATCTCGTACTAACACTTCACCGCCACGTGGACCAGTTCCATCCGCATGTGGACTGGGTGTACTGCGGATTCGAACCAGTGACCCTTGGGTTACAACATAAGCCCATAATCCTATCAACCATCGCCAGGTATATTACCATTTCCCAAAAGTAAGTGTACTTATTTTCCTATATAATACTAGACAAAGTAACACCTCATTGATGGATATCGGCACATGGGTAAAAACGTTAACTGTTTCAAGTTGATCGGCTGAGTTATTCCCGCGCTACAGCAGTTCGTGCAAGGTTATGTGTTAATACATCGCTAGGTTTGCAAACGAGTGAAATGTCAAATAACGCCATGTTATCCACTTCGTGTGGAACAGAAGAAGTCTGCCACCGAGACATTCGAAAAGTTAATGGAATCTTATAAAGATGCCACTATCTAGGACAGGGGTGTCCAAACTTTGCAAAAAGTGCCACATTTTGTGAGGTAAAATATGTTTGGCCATATTCAGATGATATCTGCGAAGCTTTCAGTGCTTATTTTGCCGAATCAATGCTCACTGAATCATCAGACACACCAACATTTATCACGCCGCAAAATAAGGAAGGTCTATGCACAGTAGAATTCACTATAGCGAAAATCACTAGTCAAGTCGCTCGCTTATACTCCTCAACGTGCGTAGGCCCTGATGGACTACCCCCATGTTTAATAAAACGCAGTGGTGGTGACTTCCTTCTGCTTTTGCTCAACATCTTCACACTCTCTTTTAACAACGGAGTATACCCTACTCAATGGAAAACTTCTGTTGTTATCCCGCGACATAAAAATGGCGCTGCCCACGAGGTTAAAAACTTTCGTCCCATAAATCACACACCCATCGTATCTAGAATGATGGAAAGGATAGTAAAAGATGAACTATTTATATTCTTGAACAAAGCTAACATTATCAGCAATTCGCAACACGGCTTCATGCAAGGTCGATCCTGCGCAACATGCCAGACTGACTTTTTAAACCACACAACGGCTGCCATTGACAATGGAAACAGTGTCGTAATCCTGTTCCTGGATATGCAAAAAGCCTTTGATAGAGTGCCTCACAGAAGGTTACTGGAAAAACTGAAGGCTATAGGCATTAGAGAACCGATGTTCTCTTGGCTGTCTTCATATCTAATTGGTAGACAGCAAGTTGTGCGCATAGGCGACCATTTCTCTACACCGAAAGCAATCACTAGTGGAGTGATTCAAGGGAGTGTTCTTGGTCCACTTCTTTTTCTAATTTATATTAACGATATATTCCAGAGAATAAGAAATGGTGTTGCATTTATCTTTGCTGATGACATTAAAGTTGTCTACTCACAACCACGTGCAAATACTCAGGAAGCCGTACGTCTCATTCAGGATGACCTATCCGCCCTTGACTCCTGGTGCCAACTGTGGCAGATGTCATTTGCCGTGGACAAGTGTAATATTTTGTCGTACAAATGCCAAGTACCGCCAGACAGTTTATTACTACAAGGTGCCTATTTCTCGCAATGCAGGACAATTCGCGACTTCGGCGTGCGATATTCAGTTACGTTTAACTTTTCTGAACACTGTGACTTCCAAGTTTCGAAAGCCATGAAGACCATTGGTTATATCTGCCATCATTTTTACCTCACGGAATCTCGCATATCCCTTTACAAAACATATGTATTGCCGTGTATGGAATACTGTTCAATGGTACAATCTAATCTACGGAAATCTGACCAGCACGCTCTTGAGAGGGTCCAGAGACGCTTCACGAAAAAGCTCTGTGGATATTCCTCAAAGTTGACATACAAAGAGCGATGCGATAAACTTGGATTTGACCCAGTTTGGCTTCGGATAATGAAGCTGAACCTATGTTTCCTTTACAGAATCATAAATTGTCAAATTCGCAGTCCTGAAAGCGGTGTTCACATATCTGTAAACAACAGATACCCAATACGTAACAAAGAGGTAAAGGTCATGATTCCAAAATTTTCTACGAGAATCAGAGAACGTTTCTTTCTAACCCAATACTCAAAGATTTGGAACAAACTTCCAAGTGATATCAGAACATGCTATACTCTTTGCAATTTTAAGCTTGCTATTAGTAAGCATTTAACCGTCCAAAACGTGATTAAGATGTTCGGGACATCACAGTCCCTAGACAACGCATTCGAAAACGGTATCCATGTTGTCTGAATAAATTTCTGAAACACATACACAAAACATTTCGGACAACAGCCCCTTTCATTACATTTTTTTCTTCTCGGCCCAAATATCTATCATGTGATTGTAAAGAATCCTGATTCAGTGGCAGGTAAAAATAGCAGAACGATTCTGATTACTCTGTGTAACATAATTTGCAATTGCATCCATGTTTATGTCTGAAAATGTATTGATGAAATGTCATGGAAAAGTTGTACCATTATTTGATCTGTTCCTTATAGAGAACAGCTTCTCGCATAGTCGAGGAATATACAATTTATTTATTTATTAAAACAATAAAAATTATGCATGTACGAAAAAAGACCAAGCCTAAATTTATCATTTCGTGATCAGGCCGCGTGCTAGTTGAAATGTTAAGGCGTGCCACATTTAGCTTGCTGGTAGGACTTTAGACACCCTGAATCTATGAATATGGTTTTTAGGTGGTGTAAAGTTTTCAGAGAGTAAAGAAAATGTTAAGAGACGAAGTCCATTCCGGAAGGCCAACCTTCTTAACAAACGAGCAAAGTGTGGAAGTTATGCGAGCAGTGCTGGCGAAAGACTGCCGCCTGAGTGTCAGAATGATTGCAGAAGAAACTGTCTGTATAAACGTGGGGCTCATATGATGTTAACAAACGTTTACAAATGCGAAAAAGGTTGAGTACAACTGGCGCTTAAAGATTTGTCTGTGGAAAGTTGGGCTGGCTTATTGGGAAGACTAAATATTGAACCAAGTTGTTAGATAAAGTAATAAGAGACGAATCATGGATGTTTGAGTGGGATTCCTATACCAAAAGACAAAGTGAGGAATTACACGCAAAAATTTTCGTTGTCTAAGGAAAGCGTGCACGGGGAGATCCAGGGTAAAAGACAATGATGGTCAATTTTTTCGACAACCATGCATAAAAAATTGGTACCACCAAGACAGGCGGTTAATCAGGTCTCGTACAAAGGTGCCTCGCATCAAATTCGAAAATGGATCCAACAAGTCCAAAATAGGACAGTGTATGTGATTGGGTGCTGCATCAAGACACATAACGTTTTTAGTTCGAGTTTTCGGCGAAGAAAAGCATCCCCACAGTACCACAACAGTCACACAGCCCTGACCTAGCCTATGCTAAGTTGAAAAGTTATCACCATGGAACTGTAGTAAACATCAAAAAGTTTTAACGAATGAACTAAGCACTCTTACGAAAAATGGCTTCCAGTACCGTTACGAACAGATAAAAATCCGCTCTAAACATCTTTAATAGCTCTCCCTTACTCACCCTGTCTGCCGCGCGGTTAATATGTTCCCACATAAGCAGAGGAGACAAACTGAGCTTTCATCTTCAATCATTCTACTGTTTTTGTGTTCAAACATTAGTTGACCTCGTGTCATGGCGAAATAAACCATACCTGGTTACCGATGTGAAAATAAGCAGTTTTTCTTCTACCCATGATCATTATTCTTCCAAACACTTGTAGTATTTTCACTTTGCCCGAAACCGAACAATCCGCTAGAATCACAAATCCTAAGGTGAGAAACTGAGGTTTACTGTGCAAAGACACAAAGCAGGCGGTAGGCAAGCGAGCATCGTTTCTGTGCTTCCGGTATAATATATATATATATATATATATATATATATATATATATATATATATATATATATATATGGTTGGCTGTATCCGGTTACGGATTTCCCTGTCACTGTGGTCAGC